CCTAACCCAAAACAGGTACTAGTGCTTATGGGTCTTTGGAAAAGAAAGGTGAAAGTGCTGTAGCAAAAAAAAACAATAGATGAGTATGTTATTGAAAGAGCGGTTCGTGAGACATGTCACTCGCTGACAATTATTGTAGTCACTACTTACACTGGCAGTTAGATGAATTGCAAGATACTGCAGCTGTATTAAACAACAAAATCAAAAGGAAAACTACAAAACAGTACAGAATATCTCTAGGTGCCAGTTTGCACCATGCTTTGAGCTCAACGCTTGACAGTTGGTTTGCAAGCTAATGAAAAAATGTTTGTCTCTCCTTTGCAATGAATAACTTTCTATTCGATTTTGCTAAGGTTGATGCGTTAAGTATATGTAGATACATAAATATTAAAAGTTCCATGACTGACTGACTTGTCATTAAGTTGGTGTTTGTGATACCCTATGAGGGCCAACGATGACTAGCGGAAGTGAGGCGGTTACCAAGCCAGCGATTGGAATTTCCATACAGGACTTATCAGCTGCAGTGTTGGGAGCACCAGCAACTCCGCTTCCGCGCGGCCGCTTCGCCTGGACTCTGCACTTCTTTCGATTGCAGTGTCGGGTGCGCATCTTCAGTGTATAGTGCATTTGAAAAATCGTGACGATGGCGCGAATGCGCGCGACGCTCACGCCACTTCCGGAATTCGCACGTTCTTGGTTTTCGTCTCTAGTCAAATGGGTTTTTTTTGCTTACGTATGAAAACGTTTAGACACTGGAAGTGACTGAGCTGAGCGTTAAGGGGCCTTTTTGTATGAGCATTTTATGCTCCTGTGGGCGCAAAGTCCGCAGTAAAAGCCGTCGTCACGATTTTATAAATGAACTATAGATGCTAGTGCACCTGATACTGCAATTGATAAGTCCTGCAGTGTGGTTCACTTTTCCGTCCTAGAAAGATTTGGTCGATCCTTGATGCAAGGATCGAACCTTGATCAAAAGAAATCATATCGAGCTTTGTAACACTATGCTGGTCGGTCCCATCAGATTCTGCAGGTCATAAAATTGCACGTACAATGGTGCTTATAGTTAACAAACGAGCCAATGGAGGCCAGACAGCAGAAAATCCTTTGAAAAAATCTATGTTGACAAACTGTAGCCAAAAAAATGGAAAATTCTGTCGAATAGGAAGTAATCCATTAGTTTGGAAACTGTTTCCTGGCCTACCCTCTCCCTTCGGCCCTACAATTTTTAAGAGGCTATCAGTAGCAAACCATATTGCAAATGCTTTCTTATAAACTGTCTACGAGCTTTCTTACAATTTGTTGTGAGCATCGCCAAAAACGTCGCATTACACGCTGAATCAGTCTCATATCTAAAACAATCGCAAAAACCTTAACTACATTCGTATAGCTATCCGATTACGATTTTAGGTTGTTTCGCACTTGAATCAGATGGAATAGGGACGAACTTTTTCTTGCAACAACTACGTAGCAACATATCAATTTTGAACACCGGGATGGTCCTGCTTGTAAAAGTGTTCAGAACTTAGTGAAACCACTTTTGATGCATGACTGTCGGTTCACTTGAACCCTGGAACTCGTGGACGCAGCCACCGACGACGACTAAGAAGATCGTGGATGTCTGAAGCGAGGGGCAGAAATCAATGGAGACTTTTGTACTGAGGCCCGCACGTCACGTGAGGACGGGCCATCTGAGCATTCAAGCAAAAATCGCTACATTACTTTCAATATATTCAATTAATTATTCATTTAATACGCAAAAGCATGTTACATGATCACAATCAATAAAAACTCGAGATATAATCAGTAGTAAGGAACACAACAAAAAAATCCACTAAATCAGCTTAAGTTCAGCTCTCAATGGTTTTGAAGAGAGAAAGGGAACAAGCTTGTTTAGGCCATCGGGTATCATGTCATAGGCGTAAGAACTCAATGGAGTCTGCCTCATGCCCCCTATGATATAGCATGACAATGTCATGTGCGGTTATATTTACTCACACTTCATTCTGTTTAAGAATCTGCGGCTATCTGTGCTCAAGGTTTGAGTTGCAAACAATAAAAAACACATATAAACTCGATAGTAAAACTGAAGAAAGTGAGAACAGCTGCTAAGGTCAAAGTTGGGAATGGAACAGTTTGCAATTTGGAAGTGAGCTGAAGTTAGATGGCAACTCACCTGAGATTGCATAAGAGATAATTCAAGGTGCCGTGAAAGAGCAACCGGCGTTTGCAAAAGTTTGTGTCGTAGGTGGGACAGGTGGGTATGTCTATGCCTATTTGACGTTTCCATGAATTGTTATTTTCATCAATTGTCACATTCATAAAAGCTCCTAGATAGCAATCTTATCGTGTAACTTAGCCAGAATTTGCAGTGTCCGAAATGTTTACGTCTCAATAATGTATGATCGTCTCCACGATTCTTGTAGAGGCGGGTTGCGGACTTCTCCTGATTTTAAGGATAAACTTGTTAATCCTCCATGTCATAGCATTGTTTTTGGTACTCTCTCGCTATCAAAAACCTCCACGCTTTGAGTTGGCAAACCCCGTCTCTACCACGAATCGTGGAGTCGATGATACATTATTCGACAATCTCATTCTTTGCTAGAGCTTTTCTTCAAATCTGCGCAGCAATGGTAATCACAAAAGAATTACTATCTAATTGAATAGAGTGACCAATTCTAAAATGGGCGAATAGTTGTAAATAGATTCAACACAGCAAACACTCCTCCTACCCAGTACCACTTTCTAAATAAAAGCGACTCTCAAACTTTGCTAAGGTTCTTTTCTCATAAGCAGAAAGTAGTTTAAAAAACCTCTACAGCTTTCTTCCAAAGCATTATCTTGAGCTCTCGAAAATGCGATCGCAAACTTTTTCTTTATACTTAAACAGTTAGAAGAATTATCTTGGTTACAGCCGAAGACCAATGCTAATGTCTAAGTCAAATCTTTCTTATGGATGTAATTATGTCAGTACTGTACTGTCAGATTTTCTTATGTTAGTCTCGAAGCTCCGCGCGCTTAGAGCAGGATGGCCCACTATTCAAGGTTTTAGAGAGCTATTAATAGGTAGGAGAGGTGATTAGGGAAGGTTCAAAAACTCTTTTGTAGGCTGATGTATATCGAATTTATGCCCACCTCAGGTGGCCCTTCAGGTAGCTCGGAAGCCACCTAACTCGGCAAAAAGTTTGTCACGCCTTCAGTTTGTAATTTTTTCATAAATTTCCATGCGTAGTTCATGCAACTCCCTGATGCGCATCTACACACCAAATTTGGTGTCTTTTCTCTTCGTTGTAAGCAAGCCTTTTGTTTATTCAAGGGGTAGTGCTGCAAAAACTTGCTGAATCGATGGGCGTAAAGTTTGCGAATTTCTGCAAGTGTTTTTTTTTCGTTAATTTCATATACAGAACCAATAATGAAATGCTTTGCGTGATCGGAAGATTTACTGAAAGTTCTTTACCGTTCCTGAGACTCCGATTTTGCCGAAGGGATTGGTAATTTTTTTCATATACGTCATTTTAAGCTTACATCTTCTTTTACGGATTCCGCTACGGATTCCGCATGAACGATATCCCCGTTGCTTTTCGCTGCCAAACGATATCCAGTTTGCTCCGTAAACCACCTGTGCCGAGCTCTGCGCTTGACACACTGAACAGGAACAATGATGCTCAGGTCTGCTTTGGCTTTATGTTGTCTTGCACGTAAAGCAAGATTGCTCCATAAATCAACTGTTTTGAGAAATGTGACGAAGCGGAGAGCAGGATGAGAAAAAAACCAGAGGTAGGCGAGGAAGATCAAAGATGGTGTAAGGAGAAAATTTGATTTTTTTTCTGCGCCAGATCAGCTGGCTGGCTCACAAAGTTGGCATGAGCAGACCAAATCGAAAAACTTGCCTTTCTATACAGTGTGTCCCAAACATAAGTACACACTTTCCAATCGTCAATATCTCTCTTCACTATGGGTCTTTTTTGGCCAGTCAAGTACCATTCTGTAGAGGAGGCTTCAACTCACAAGTGAACCGTGTCGAGTCGAAGTGGCCTTTCCAGATGAGACCCATACTGCTTTGAAGACCATTAATCGGTGATTCCAAATCTGCTTTCCAAATCTGCCAAGCGCCTCAGGACGCCAAGTCATGCTCGTTTTTCAGGTCAAAAAATTGAACGCAAAACTGAAGCAAAATCGCCCAAATTTGCTCAAATGGTCCAGTGTTGAGTATCAGAGCTGTTTACGCAATGGACACATTTTATTATACGCTAATACTTAACATTGCTTTATCTGAGCGCTGGAAAGATTGTAAAAATCAATTTTACCTAAATTCTGCATTCATTTTTCGCTCCGAAAAACGGTCACAACTCGGCGTCCAGAGGCGCTTGGCAGATTTGGAAAGCAGATTTGGAATCATCGATTAATACTCTTCAAAGCAGTATGGGTCTCATCCGAAAAGGCCACTTCGACTCGACACGGTTCCCTTGTAAGTTAATAAAAGCTGCTGACGAATATGAACTTTTCACTTTCTGCAATGCTTCTTTTTAAGTTATTTCAAATAAACCGTAGCAGTGAATTCTCAGCATTTGTCAAAAATGTGGCTACACCGTCAAAAAAGTTGAAAACACCAGTAAAAGTTGCGTATTTGCGCGAAAACCTCGGTACACGATTGTCAAAATTGAAAAAAATTATCAAATGGCTTGAACCACAATGTTCTCTTATTCTGGAAGTTGTTACCGTATTTCTAAAGTAACGAAGAGCGATCGGTGATTCGCTCTATACTGCAAATCGTAAGAAACTACAGAATGGTGACTATAAAAATCGGCGAAAGACGCCAAAGCAAGAAAGTTATTAGCAATCAAACAGTGTGTACATTTTGTGGGGCACCCTGTAAATCATGTTTTCTTAAAATTTATTAGATCTTTTACTGCAGCTTGGTAAATGTCAAAAGGGGACGAATTTATAGCCCAAGAACAAGCAGCACTGTGGACTAAGCCGATGTAGACACCCACTGTGAAATTCGTTCATTATGTTTCTCAAAGCAGACATTACTACTGCAGAGAACACTAAGGTAGTGTATTAAGCATAAGGACCATCTATGCAGATGCACTTGTTCTTTTCTTCGCATTCACCAGAGGTGTGTATGTCCTGAAAAGTCGGTAATTCGTTATGCAAATACTACATCTCTATATCATCCTAGCTCATTTCAAAAATCTTAAACTATAGGATAAGTCACGTCTTGATTTCCATCTATCGATGTGATGATTTTAGATTACTGTCATGCTATAACAATGTTCTTCCTTTTTGAGAAGCCTCCTCCAAGCTGTTTTTGAATTTTTTAATGCGAAGAAGGCAGGGGATAATAATAATGGAGTTTGGGGTTTTTATTGGGATTTCTTCTTTGTCTTAAATTCTTTGGCGGTTTTTTTATGTATGAAATGAAGGGCTGCTTTACTTAGTTTACAATATAGGTCAGGTCACGACTGCTTTTTTGCGGAATTACGGTAGTCCGACACCTTGTCATTCTATTTGATTTTATAGGCCATTCGCGCTGCGCTCAGAGAGCAACGCTGTTGCGTCCATTGAAGGCTGTTCATGACTGGGAAAGGCGCAAAGAAAACAGGCGGCGAGAGTGCACGAGCAAGGAGGAGTAACGCGCACTACACACCTTGCGCACTCTCTGCGCCTTGCGCGGTTGGCCTATAATAATTTTTTTTCGTGATTATGATAAATTCTCAAAAAATTGAAAACATATCAAAATTCATTGATGAAACCAGCGCTACCCAAAAAGGGCTTCCGCGAATGCTGACTTTCTCCACTTTGTATCAGAACAGGGTTGAAACTGCTGTAGCTGCTTGTATAGGACAAGTCAAATTCTAGGAACTGCTAAAAAAACTGCTGTTAGTATTGGCGTAAACAGACTTCGCTCAGACTTTTCGTACAAAGTGTTTGTTTTTTGAGTAAAAAATTTAGTGCATCCTCCCTTCCTCACGATAAGGGACCACCGATAGAAACGTTCACAAGATATCTTTTACCTTTTTTTTACAATAAGAATTACATCCTTCTTCGGCTAATCTTCTGACAAGAGGATCTCTGCTATCCATTTTTTCGCAGAGACTTATCACTGTGCCAAGGTTGAAAAGAAGCAGAAGGCCAGTAAGAGCCCACATCATTCTGAAATGTGGAAAAATTTACAACTTATGACATAGTCGCATGATCAATCGTCGTGTTGGAGACATTCTTGCGAGCTTCGATATAACTTATCGGAAGTTTCATTTCATTTACACAGAGATTATCAAATTTTATTAGGTTGCTGCAAAAGTTTTTCCCGCCAAATTCAAAAATTCATATCTTGTTGAATTTCCAATGAATCTGAAAGATCTAAATCATGGGTAAGAGAGGAACTCATGCTCCTTGCAGCTGTACTTGAACTGTTCGTTAAAGTGTACAAATGAAGGAGATAGAAGCTCAATACCAAAATTACTCGAAATTTGAATTTTTTCGTGTAAGGTCATAAAAAATCGGAAACTTGCAACAAAAATTGGAGCAGTCAGTATTGTAGGCTCTTTGACAAGCTCTTTCCAACAGTGCAAAGTTTGCGCCGATTGAGCGTCTCTATGAAAAGTTATGATTTTCGAGCAAGCAATACAAAAGGGCAAATTTGATTTATTTTGGCGTTTTTCAGGGAAATCATAACTTTTCATAGAGAAGCTCAATCGGCGCAAACTTTGCACCATTGGAAAGAGCTTTTGAAAGAACCTACAATACTTAGTGCTCCGATTTTTGTTGCAAGTTTCCGTTTTTTATGACCCTACACGGAAAAATTCATATTTTGACTGATTTTGGTTTTGAGCTTCTATCTCCTTCGTTTGTAAACACTAATGAACAATTTGGGCACAGATGCAAAGTGCATGAGTTACTCTCTCAAGCAACATTTAGGTCTTGCAGATTCGTTGAGAATTCAACAAGTTATGAATTTTTGAATTAGGTGAGAAAGAACTTTTGCACCAACCTAATAATAACGGGACTCGATAGCCTTAGCCTGCAGGGCAGCAGTTTGGTAGCATTCGCATATATCGCAGCTCTCCTCCAGCTTTCCACAAAACGCCAGTGCAAGAGCCCTTTCCACTGAGCTTTTTTTGGAGCTTTGATGCATGGGAACTGCTAAATACACTTGTGTTACCTCACTCTGCTTTTTCACAGGTTTTACTTCTGCAAGCTAGATATTGTTTGAGAGTTAAAAAGCGAGAGGGATGTCATCAAACCAGGGCCCAGCATAAAAGTCTTGAAAGCACGCAAGACTTGTTTTACAGTGAAAGGCAAGAAAGGCGCTGTAAATCATGCTAGCAGGCACATAAGCAAGCATTCAAACGACGCATGCACTTAATATCCAGATTGAATAATAAATAGCAAATGGCTTTCTTACAGCGCAGAAACAAGCATGTGACGCTAAGTTTGGACTCTGTGCGTACAATATCTTTCTTAACACATTTTAGACCGCGAAATCGCGCGCGGCGAAAAAAGAGTGCTCTTTTAGCCATTAGCCAACAAAGGGACCTTGTTTCGTAGACTGTGTGCTACATCTCTGACGCCGTGCACACCAGTATTGAAACTACGGTTTTTCTCTTTGATATCGAAGCAAAGGAAAGTTGCGACGTCGCACGCGTCGATCGCTTTGCCGCACTTCGTTGCAAGTGTTGTTCGATTTTTGTTCATATCTTTTAAACAAATATCGGCGGCACAACTCTACAGAGACATTTGAAAAGTAGAAGCTTAGGCCTTTGGTAAACTTTTGAGCTTGTTGAGCGTCGACCAAGATATTAACCACACTTTATTCACGGCGAACGTTTCGGCGGGATCGCCTTCGTCAGAGCCTAGAAAGTCGAAAACATAAGTGAAACATTCTCCCAGACGCCAAGATTCTAGCTCAAGACGAAAGTCAAGTTGGAGAGAGGCAAAGGCAAAGAGAGATTGGGTAACCAAGACTCACCTTCGATAACGTGTGATGATGCGTTAGACCACCATATACTCAGACTATACCTTTTCCTCTATTTATAGTGCCATCACACGTTACCGAAGGTGAGTCTTGGTTACCCGATCTCTCTTTGCCTTTGCCTCTCTCTAATTTGACTTTCGTCTTGAGCTAGAATCTTGGCGTCTGGGAGAATGTTTCACTTATGTTTTCGACTTTCTGGCTCTGACGAAGGCGATCCCGCCGAAACGTTGGCCGTGAATAAAGTGTGGCTAATATCTTGGTCGACGCTCAACAAGCTCAAAAGTTTATCAACTATCGATGCCAAGATTAATAATCAACCGAAGTTGGACAATATTAAAAGATGTAACAGCTTAGGCCTTTGATTTGATAACCTTGGACTAGAAGAAAACTCCCTGTAAACGTCAAAAAGATCCTTCAAAGCAGCGTGCTCACCATGTGCAGCACCTCCGAAACGTGTCAAGAACTGTGCATAAAAAAATTTGTAACTCAATAACATTCTTCAAAAAGTAGTCTCCGACGTCACAATCGATTGAGCCGATCTATTATGTTGTGATTTGCATGAATTCGCATTTTTTTATTATGGACAAATTCTCTAATTTCCGACGTGGTCTCTTTTCTTTGAATCAAAAATTGTTGTAGTTTATTTCCGAATTCCGCATTTTCGTCGGATTATGATATTTTGTATGCATCACTTTTCGTCAAAGGATTTGGTCAAAGCTAAGGAGGATTCGTTCAAAAATGCTAGAAGACGTCGCGTGCAGGGCTCTGGGCGGAACTTGGGGGATTTTTGCATAAATGTGCTCATTATCCTTAAAATATTAAGTTGTCCCAAAAGTCTTTTTATTTTAGAGTTTTCGCCATAATGAGTCATACACTTCCTATTCTAAATAGACATCAGGATACCATTCTCTACAGATTTTCGCTCACGCATATGCACTCCACATCAGACACTCATATGTGCTGTTCGTTTTTTTTATTAGCTAAAAATCAAGAAAACCGAAATTTTCATGTTTTCACCAAAGTGATGCTGTGCTGTTTTTAACTAAGACTTGTATACTACAAGCCCTTAGAAAACACCACCGTAAATTTTTAGCTGTCTATAAGCTCTGGTTTCCGAGAAATGTTGGGTTAAGCGTGAAGAACCCGAGTGTGGGATTCTAAATCCGATATTTCTCGGAAACTACAGCTTATAGAGAGCTGAAAAATTCGCGGTTGTGCATCTAAGGGCTTCTATTATGCAATTGTTAGTGTAAAAACAGCACAGCGTCAGTGTAGCAAAAACATGGAAAATTTTGGTCTCTTGATTTCCAGTTGATAAAAAAATACAGCAACAGCCAAAATTCTGGAAAACATGTATTCTAAAAGTTTTAAAAATCTTTTTTTGAAAAAAGTCCGAAAACGGCCGCGTCACAATGTCGCGGACAATAATTCTTCGAACGCGAAAATTTCCCTGTAGGTCTTTTCTTGGAGCAACAACAGAAGTTCTCCGGACAGATAAGCATACTATATTGTAGAGCTTTCGAGTACAATAATCAGGCGGTGATATTACAACCCAAAATTGAATTATATTTGTTTTTTTACAAAAAAAATTCTGATTCCCTTTTTCAAGGCAAATTTCTTCGAATGGAAACCTCTTCAACACATTCCGACAAAACTGTTCGGATAAAATGGATGCTATTAGCCATGCTCTATGCAACGGGCATGTGTTGGTGAGTTTCCTTGCTGAAAATGGCTCTTGTCAGTGCGCGCACATAACCCCAGCTGCACCTCACCACTGACTTGCACCTCTTTGCAGGCTTGTAGCTCGGCCGTCAGACACTGAGCCTGCAGGTAGGCTCATTCGAAAGAACGTGACTTCCTGGACACGATGATATGCAAATGAATTGGGTTTGAGAAATTTCAGAGATTTGGCGGATAGGGTGAAAAAGTGTAGCCCTAAAGGTGATTGGAGTGAAGGCTCTTATGAACACCAGAACAGTCTTAGAAGTTCGAAATGGATCTATTACAAGAAAATTGAAAGTTTTGAACTTCCAGGATATAGTTGGTAGCGAATGGAGCTCTCTCCAACTTTAGCTGAAAGTGCTTAGTCTACAACTGAAGCTGCCCTCTTCCACCCCATCCGCTAAACCTCTGGGCTTGCTCAAACTGAACTTATTTGCATACCATCGTGTTGAGGAAGTCACGCAATTTCGAATGAGCCTAAGTACAGGCTCGCAGCTTGCGTGACGGCTGAGATACAAGTCTGCAAAGCGGTACAAGGCAGTGGGAGGCGCAGGTAGGGTCATGTGCACGCATTGTCAGGAGTCATGTTCGCCAAGAAACTCACCAGCCACGTTCGATGTACAGAACATGGCAAAGAGCGTCTACTTTATCCGAACAACTTTGATGGGTTGCCTTGAATAAGTTTCCATGTGAAGAAATTTGCTTTGAAAGAGAAAAATAGAAGTTATTTTTTGAAAAGCAAAAAACTCAGGAACTCAGGTGGACACACAGAAATATATGCTTTATCGTTTTGATGGCGTCTTGAAAGAGGACTATTTTGGAAAAACGTATAACGTTATATATCCTTTGATTCAATGAGATTGGCGGCTGGAAGGTGGGGCTTCGCGGCCCGACCAGGCCGAGAGTGATCAGAGAGAAAGCTCGCGAGAGAGGCGCAGAATGCGTCGCTGGTGCGAGCGCTAATCCCGTTGAATCAAAGGGTAACTGTTAGCATACCGCTCTCGCCGGAATGATCGTCAATTCAGCCATATCTCGCTTCAGAATGGACGAATGTGAATCCGAGGACACCGTTTGATTCAGCTCGACGAGACGCATCATCTTATATACAAAGCTGAACGTCTGTTTGTCTGTTTAGAATAGAAAATTCCATTTCTGAACCGATCCGGGCCAAACTTGGCAGACATGCACTTCGGGCCCCGGCGGGTGTCATAGGCTACTTTTCGTCATCGATCGATATCGATTTTATCGATTTTTATCGATTTTTTGCAAAGTTCACCTACGGGGCCGGGAGTTGGCACAGGGGGTAAGTGAGCATAAGGATTCCGAATACAATATTAGTTTGCAGAATTATCGATTACTTTTGTCGATTTTTATTGATTTTTTTTGCAGAGTTCACCTACGGGGCCGGGAGTTAGCACAGGGGGAGGGTAAGTGAGCATGGGGATTCCGAATACAATATTAGTTTTCA